GGTTCAGCTGTGCTGAGGCAGTGATAGGCTGGGCACGAGGAAGAGAGGATGACAGAGAGAGTACAACTGATGACAGAGCGCAGACACAAGCACCCTGCGTGCGAGAAGAATGTAAGCGGTTAAAGCGGTCTTCGCATGCCCCTGGCACCCTTATTCGCACCTTAGAGCCGGAGACGAGAGATCAGCGACCTTCGTGTTTATCTCACACTAAGGGATTGATCCACCTCAGTCATACTGGGATGTGCCTTTAATATAACTGACAAATAAATTCAAAAACGAAGAACCTTCTTCTTCGGCTTCTCATGCTTCCTCGCCACATCATTTTCTTTCTGTGATGGACTTATTTTGGAGGCTTTTGATGGTACATCCTATAAAATGAGTTAACAATCGCAAATATCTATAACTCTTTAATAGACATGAAAAATCACTTTTTTCTTTGAAGGATGAGCGGCCTTTCCGTCAGTTCGCGCACCTCCGAAAACTTCATTGGCGCTGACTCGTTCCAATTTTTCTTCCGATTTCTTATCTATAGTTGAAAAAATGCATGAGCCCTACTCGAGGAAAGAACAACATAAAAACCAACAGCGTCATTTAATAAGAAGTCATTCACAAGAATCACCTTGAGAATAAAGAGAGAAAGAAAACAGGACAAATGAAATAACGTTTTCAGAGCTCACCTTTCGCCGGAGTAGTTTTCTTCGAGTCCTTATCAAAACCCAGCTTCTTCTGCACTTTCTTTGGTTTCTTCTTCTCCATAAACTCATTTTCACTATCCGTTTCACTAGTGACCTGAGAGGAGAGCAATGATTGCAGAAAGAAGTTTGCGATGGAAGCAACCAATTAGAGGTCGTTTGGACAGTATGTCTACCACTTCTCATCAGAGATGAGGGCACTACGATGTCAGAAACGCGCAAGCCATATTACAACAGCCCGTGAAGTGGGGCTGAATTTTCGACACAGCTACCTGGCTTCGAGGACATGCGTGGTTGGGACAAATTTAGAGCCCACAGTACGCCCGCTCCTCTCCCGAATCAAGGTGCTCTAGCTTAATGTGACTCTTCTCACATTAACCGCGCTATACTTCAAGAAGTGAAAAAGGTAAAATTGGCAAATGACCTGGTAGTCCCATCAAAAAAAGGTGAATAAAAATTTTCTGATAAAGAGTTCATCAGGCTCCAAAGAACGGTTCAGAATTGAGAAAACCTACCTCCTCATCACCGGATTCAGGCGCTGGCGGACGTGCTTTCTCTTTTCCTTTCTTCTTCTTGGGAGATGGTGTAGCATCTTCTTCACTATCGCTCACCACAATTCGCGACCTCTTCACCTTTGGAGGAGACTTCACCGGAGAAGGTGTGACTGACTTTATTGCGCCTTTCGATGCTTTCTTCGGAATAAAATCCTCATCGGAATCTAAAACAGGCAATAAACGTGACAAAATCGGAAAGTAGTAGTTTAAAAATAATGTGCTCAGCACTAGACAAATAATATTATAGAAATAAAGAAATATGACTAATTAGTGATTGTAAGTTGAATACCTGAGACCACAAGCGCTCGTGAACGTTTCTGCTTCAAGGCTTCTTTGCGCAGTGATGCCGGTATTGGTGATTCACCTTCGGCTAAAACCAGCTCACGTGAGTACAACAATAAGCAAACAGTATGAAGAAGAAACATAGGGTGATGTTCAATCCTTTTGGTGCCACTTCTGCTTCATAGTGATATATGAAGCGATAAGGCCTATGAACGACTCTGATACATGGGAACCAGTCGAAGAACAACCTATGTTACTATTTCACTAGATGAGTTGGGCACCAGTCAGCCAAACCCGGAGAGCATGAAGCTTGGTTGGTCAGGAGAAGGGTCGAGCCGTCTAATCCCATGTGAGGAGCTCCCGGGTGCAGAACATTCAAGACGTTCTAATTCAAAGACACCTCGTTTTGGCTTCGAAGGCTTTAGTCGAATAAACACAAGCGAAGCGCTCCCTCCCCGGAATCCCCTCTGCAAGAATTGGAATTGTAGTCGACACGAACTACTGTATCAAAATCTCCCCTCTTTTTGGAATAGACTTGAGCTGGAATTTGACCCACTACGTGGTGAGAGTTACTTCCTATTTGGTACTTTCCACTTATGGATTGCATCGAAAGTTCAACACAGGAAACAACATACTATGCGATCAACTGCTCTTACGACAATGGCAGGGGATTCTGCAAGAAAGAGGGACGGGATAATGAACATTTTAAAGGACGTACAGTCATCGCTCTCGCTCAAGTCCACAACTGCGACCGCAGCCTTCTTCGGTTTCTTTGCCTTCGGCTCGGATTTGTTCGGAACCAATTTATCGGACCTCTTTTTGGTCTCCGAGGTTGGAGTTGAAGGAGCTGCCTTTCGAATTGCTGATAGCGCACTTGAACCGGACGAACTCTCTTGATTGCCACTTTTCTTTCCACCGAAGAAACTCCTTATGTTCGTAAAACACTTTTTAAATTTGAAAACCACAATCAGGAACTTTCACACTTGGCTAGAGGGAAGTTTTACTAGTTTTTTTTTTTCTAAAAGTTGAGGTTCATATTGTAAACTATTATGATTGCGGGATTCCGAGAAAAAAACTGGTGCTGAAACCGAGCTACACTACGCTACTGAAACAGGAAAGAACAATAGGTATTATCGAACCGTGACTCACCATTCTACAAGAAACTGTTCTTCAGTGAAAAGAAACGTCCGTAGAAATTGTGAGTGCAGGCAGAATTTCAAATAGCCGCCAAAAGCAGCTACCCGCAGGAAAACTCGTCCGTCACCAGAATACCAATCTAGGTTTGTTTTATAGCCACTTCTCAAAATATCCAGGATATTTCTTAGAAAAAACCGAATTCCCTTGATCACAGGTAGCTGGCCATTGTTGTGCTTAGCCCTGCAGAACTGTGCCCTGAAAAAAAAGATAAGGATGCAGTGATAGAGCTTCCCAACGGCAAAAGTTCCATAATATGTTGGTAACTTGAGAGCGGAGGCATCCTTGAAAAGATGTTCATTTTTCTATGGGTCAAAAGTGTTTGTATGGTTTTTGGAAGCACTTCGATGATGCAAACTAGCCCTCAACAACGCTGCGGTGAAGGGGAGTGGCCTAGACTACTAGGTGAAGACGAGTTTCCTGTAGCAGCGAAAATGCAGCTTGGGCATTTGTTTTTTGAAGGCTTCGAAAACTGTGAATCTCTCTGGATACTCTCGATTTCTGAAGACTTTATGTGTCTGACTACAATGCAAACGACAAAATTTTAGCTTGCCGTCTAGCGAAATGTTTAGTCTGCCGCACGTCAGCTTTTGCGTTGAACAACTGCCGTTGTTATCTTTTTTGGGGCTTGCTTATTACTTTTGCGTGTGCTAACTAGCAAGTGCAAAGCTATCGATCGACTATTCAATACTCTGAACTTTCGGCATAGTTTTGGTTCTTTTTCTGTTTAGTTTTGGCGTTGTTGATTGATTCTTCAAGTTCCCTTTTTTCTTTACTTTAAACTATTTACTGAATAATATATGACATTTTTTTTCAAGTATTTCTTTTTTTTTTTTTTTTTATAAAAAAAAAAAAAAAAAAAAAAAAAAAAAAAAAAAAAAAAAAAAAAAAAAAAAAAAAAAAAAAAAAAAAAAAAAAAAAAAAAAAAAAAAAAAAAAAAAAAAAAAAAAAAGTAAATTTTTTAAGAGGGGGGCATGCGGTGTGACAGCTTCTTTCCGGCAACAGAATTTCTTATTCTTGCAAGGGGACTGAATCCCCGGGGTACGTGGATCATTACACTCGAACTTTTACACCCACCATGGAGCTTTACTCCCTTGGAAAAAGTGGGTTATTTCACGCACTACATCCACCCCCCCCCCCTTAGTGGATTAGACCCTAATCTTCTCCACTTTCATCATTGCGATAACACTCGGATTATAGGGTTTTTGAAGGACACACGTACGGCGACGCCCACACGTACTCGTGCTGTAGTTCTCATGTTGATGGTTGTCACTGCGAAAATGGGTGTTAATGAATAACTATTCTTCTTCAAGCCAATTTTTTCAATCATTTCCCAGTTATTCTCGTTCTTATGGCGACAAAGTTGACCTATGCTTGCGATAGCACTTCGTGAAGTGAACACACATCGTATATGAACAGTGTTTGTCACAAACTTGCTGAATTTTATTTCAAAATCCAGGTACCTCTCGTACTTGGCCATACTAGCTTTCTGAAAAGCCATTTGTGTACTTCAAGTTCGTCATCGCCACTCGAGAAAGTTTCATGATCGAAGATAGAGCTCTGTCGCTAATTTTATGAGAAATTTCTGATTGCTTCCTACGAAACAACCGTGTTCTGTTCATCGTAACACATTTGTGTATATCTGTTACTACAAGAATTCGTGCCGTTTGCTTTTTTGTGCATACTTTTAGAAGTTGTGACATTGTTTGACAGAAGTTCAAAAAAAGTCTTCCATCGATGAAAGTAAATTTGAGCAATTCCGATGTGATCCAATGCATCATAATGTTTTTGTTGCTGTTAATCTTGTTCGCAACCGCTGGTCTCAATTTCTTTCCATCTCCTTCCGTTGCTGAGTCTTTCCAATGCGCTGCCCTTTTGCACTTGTCATGTGTCCCCGCGCCGTCTTGTATTCATGCACAATTCACAACTTGTGCTCTGCATCGACCAACCTCGTTCATGATGCATTCTCTGCTGAAATATCATAGTGGAATAGCTTTCAGCAGTTTTATTCGATCTGCTTCGGTCAGAATGGGGACATTGTCGCTGGACATGTTATTTTTTCGGCGACTGGGCACTCTTTTGAAGCTGCTTTTTCCTTTGAATCGCCGTTCAAGGACAACTTGGCTGGCACTAGTGGTGCTCATTACGTCGTTCACAGGTAAGCACTTCATCCATTTCATCATTTTTGATTTCAAAAAACAAGTGTCAGTGGATTGAGTCCCTTAATAATTTTTTTTGCTGATTTAGAAACTTACCTCATATCTCGACTTTTATCGACGAATCCGCATTCGAATTTCCCTCTCCACTCTCGTTGCATGTACCTCAATGTCGGAATTGAATAGAAACTACAATAAGATAACCTATATTTCTCTCATCTTCACGTTAGAACTCCCGATGCATCATGGATCTAATGAGCAGAATCACTTGAAAAGTTTAAACGCTAAAAATATCTGATCGCAGCAGGCGTTGAGCCGCTGCCACTGACATCATTTTTTATCGTTTTCATGCACTTATGTAAAAATATCAGCGTCAGTCACTCTTTTTTTCAGGGGCCGTAAGGTATGCTTCCCCGAATGGTTGGGGGACGAAAATCCCTTTAAATTTTTTTTGTTTTGAACGATACTGTTTCTTCATTTTCAGTGCATGTTTACTTTAACCTACATATATTAAATGTTTATCAGGACAATCCCAGTTGGGAAGACAGAGAAAATTTAAAGGGATTTTCGTCCCCCAAACCCTCGGGGAAGCATACCTTACGGCCCCAGATGGCCGCCCATTCTACTTCCATTTAAAATCGTAGTGGCGATTTGAATTGGCCTATAGAATGACTCACGGCGACCTGATTATATTAGTGTTTTATCTTAGGTTAGTATGGTGGCAACTGACGAGCCCAGGGTGGTGGAAGACTTGGTTGGCATGGTCGGTGTATGATCCAGGGTTTGATTCCTGGACCAAGCGCGTGACAGCAGCACCACTTGCTACTGTACCGCCTTGTTCAGAAATTTATGTAGTGAAAGAAATACATTCCACTGATATTGTAAGCTGTAAAACAGAAGATTATGAAGTTCTGTTTGTTTGTTACAGTTCCAACTTCCATATTGTCTTCGGCCGTGTTTTGACGCTACGCTAAAAGCGATAAAAATCCTCCGGCTCTCTTTTTCTTAGGGTTTACTGGATTTCTCTTTCTTGACTCATTCGATAGTAGACTACCGAAATGAAAACAAAGTCTTGAATATATGTAAAGCCTCTAGTGTGGAATTTGGTGTCATCACTCTTTTTTATTTCAGACCAAGTAGCTACGTATTTTGTTGGAATACTACCGAGCCAATTCTTCGTGGTTCTTGGGAACAGGGACTTGTCGGCCTTTCATTTATTGTGTGCAAAAGCCACTATTATAGTACTTGCAAAATCGCTGGTATGTTCATGTAGACGTTTGCATTTGGAATTCGTATTTTCAAAGCACCGTTACAGACGTTGGCATCTATCAAGTATTTTACGTCTATTCTCGCGATTAAATGTCGCGAGATTTGCAGTTACACACTGCATAGATTATACTTCAAACGGCGAGCCTTCTATAAGCTGAATTTGTATTCTGAAAATTTGGACAACATGTATGCTGATTTTTCTCATTTTTCCCTCATCGTTTTGCTACAGGTCTCTGAACTGTAATGAACTGTGAACTGGCTAAGTTTAAATTGTTTTTCAGCGACCAGCGAATGACGCAGGACATTGAGAAAACAACGCAAGTGTTAGCCTGCGATCTTTTAGCCCCGGTAATTACTGCTCCATTCATAATTATATATTATTCCTATCTAACCTGGATAAGGTAAGTCCTCCGAATGATAATTTTTGTTTGTTCAAGTAGTAAATATTACTCAGCAGCAATAGTTTGTGCAATGCTTACTCTATTTAGTTCTGGATGGCTGGGGCCGCTTACTATTTATGTATATTTTACATTTGTTACTTTGGTAAATCGCTACTTAATAGCTCCTCTTGTTGGCCTAGTCAATGAAACGGAAAGGAAAGAAGGCGACTTTCGGTTTGTCAGATTATTCTTCTTTTATACGTTTTTGTAGATACTCGTTGATTGACTATTGACGTCATTGGTTGGTCTTGTTCGCCAATTTTCATACTAACTCTTGATTTCCAGTCAGCGACATATGGAAGTGAGGTCGAATGTGGAATCGATTGCATTTTACCAGTCAGGTCTCATTGAGAATATCATGACAAATCAAAAATTGAAAGCTTTGCTGAAAGTTAAGGTACGGTTCCAGTTCAAGATTGGCTCAACTTCACCACTTGTTGGCGTTATGCAATTTGGACAGCTCATTATATTTTTAGCGGAAACTCGTTGAGTGGCGTTTCATTCTTGGTGTTGTTACCAACATGTTCGACTATTTTGGTGGCACCCTTTCCTATCTGATCATCGGAATTCCCATTTTCATGACGCATGCCTATGATTCATTGTCGGGCACTGAGATTAACGGAATGGTGTCCATGGTAAGGCGTTTTCGATATTATATGTGCTTTCCATCTCCTCCACCACTTTTGTTACAAGGTATTTGTTGATATAAAAATCAACCTCGGTGAATTCTTTTTTGCAAAGATCAAAGATTCGGACCCATTGGGTAGTTAAAAATTGAATACAAAGCGGCAGCGACTTTCATGACCTCGCGTGATGTCATCTTTCCATTTTACAGGTTGAATGATTTCATCCTGTAAGTTGGGAAGATTCATCCTATTCAATGTTTTTTAAGAGTTTCCAACTAATGTTCTACCCCTTGAAGAGACTACTGTCGAACTCCTTTTGAAATAAGGGATTTCCTAAGTCGCAGAGCATGTTTGATATGTTAGTCTCACGTTCCTTTGTCCGCTTGAAATGGCGGACTTATTGAGGAAGGAACGAAACGAACCATGCTTTTCTTTACTAGTTATTTCGTTACCAATTTCTTATTTCTTAATTAGGGTAATCGGAGGTATCAAATATGGAAGTTAAATAATGGGAGGTAATCGTATGCCATGTAATGAATCTGTAGCAACGAAGCCCGCTTCCACTGTGAAAGCATGCTCCCCTAGAGCAGTAGTATGTGGATGTATTTTTACCTTTCCTCTTCTCCAAGTCACATAGGACTGGAAACAAGCAAATATTCGTGGTTTCCTTTCCTGGCTGTATAAATAGATATGCAGTGGCTACAAAATTGACGTATTTAATCGCAAATAATTCTTTCGTGCAATTTCTGCAGAATTCACTTGCAGAGATGTTTTTGCAAATCCTGTGTTGAATGAATTCGCAAATTAAAGAATTCACGTTCGCATCGCTTCATAATTTTTAGAAGCTCGTTTTGAGAAACCGTGCTTTGCATTGGTTCCATTCTATGAGCTGTAGACACATAATAACACGTACTTCTCCTACGAAAAACACTAGGTGCAGGAGAAAAGTTTTAGTAGTTTTTTGTTTTTCATACCCACCACTAAATGAAATCATTTGTTACTCTTCGTTAGCCCTTGTCCTGAAAGTGATAGAGCAATATCGTCAACTCATTCGATTATCTATAATAGATTCTGAGGTATTCTCGGTTGACATTGTGTGAATGGCTGCTAGCTGAAGGCGGCGGCGTGTTAAAGTGAGGATGCACATGGGTGGCATGAGAACAGAACAAAGCACATGACATAAGAATGTTGCTAAAAGAAGCCTCATTCTCCAGTGGATTCTAACTGCTAGAATGATATCCAAGCGTGTTCGCAGTTAGATGGGTTTTCCTTTGTGTTCAACAGAAGTTCTCAGAGTTCCAAAGAGTTTCTCGTAGGTATTGCGCTTCCAGTTTCTATGAGATTGGATTGCTAAAAGCAGTTCGTTAGTGGTCGGCGACATCGTCCTCTGGGAGCAATTTGTTGGGCAAGCGTTCAGCTGTCTCGAAATTTCCGTCCCAGACGGGCCGCAGCATTGTGACTGATTTCAGCAATTGTCGTGTAAGGGAATGCAATTCCCATGCACTTGACGATGTTGGGAATGATTCAGTCATTTCAATTGGTGTGTAAGCAGGAAATAGTCCAAATATTAGTCATACATTTATTTTTGTGAAGCCACGCAGTAGTCCCAGTAGTTGAGCACTACCGCAGGTATCATTCTATTTTATCAGCACAATTTCCAACCTTCGAATATTTCGATTCATGCATGTGTTGTGGTGTATAGCATTTTCAAGGAATCCTAGCGAAGCTGTAGCTGATCTGCGCAGCTCGACATTTCTTCTCTACAACATTGAAAAAGGTTCTGGAAATACCTTTTCATGAGATGAAGATATTTTTCGGCCTTTGATAACCCTGTGAGAAATAGCCCAAAAAATTACAATGAGAACTTCAACAATCAATTCTGTTGTAGCCGTATTGTGGGAATATTTGCGTCTTTAAACCTTTTTCCATTAATAAGAGGATCCATCAACAATACGTAGCAATTAATGAAGATACACTATTACACACTTGTCTCTTCGGTCGGAGAACAAATGTTTGCAACTTTGTAAATAAGAAATCAATAACTAAATACAATAGATAAAAGTAAAACACTTTCTTCGCTCTGGAAAAGGTTGTTACACGGCGGAAAGATATTTCTACCAGTCTGGCTTCCGCCTAAGCGCACGTGCTAAAAGGAAGTCCATTTACCTTATTGTTCTTCCTCCCTTCAATGTTTTCAAGCTTAATGTTTTTGCTGCGATCTAACTATTTCCTTTCGGAATACACCCATGAGTCATCACTTAAAATCCTTTCCGAGTTCTGTTGCGCTGTTTATCAACAAGTTTGAGACCCATCAATCAGGTATTTGGCGCTTGGTAGCCGATTGTGACATGTTTGATATGAAATAGAATGAACTTTCATGTACCCTTGCCTCTCTTAATCCCAAGAGAATGTGTGATAGGCGCAAACGCGCCAGGCCTTGAGCAATTCATATGTCTGGGAAAGCCGTCATTTTCCACGTGGTTTCCCTACAAAAAGAGCAGGGAATAAGCTCAACGATCAGGAAAGGTCTTAGAAAGAGCTAGTGAGCCAAACTCTAGCGCGTGTGAACTTGTTTTTAACTTGGTATAATTTCAGAATGCTTTTTTCTACCTGTACTTGATCTACAGTTTTACAAATCTGATTACGTTGTCAGAGAAGCTCGGAGATCTAGGTGGTGTCACACACAGGTGGGTTCTTTGTCATTATATAATTTCATTGCTTACATTTTTTTTGGTGACAATAAGTTCTTTTGTGGGGCTGAACACCCCCTCAGAATTTAACTATACTATGTGGTGCACGGGTTCTTGAATCCGACTCGGAAGCTTCAATCAGAGCAAAACTTAGGATTGACTTTGAGTACTCATTTTTGTTTCACACTTCACTCAAATAGTTACGAACAAGATTAACTGCTGATTATTTTCTGCAGTCACCTTTTAACTTATAATATAAAAGGATAAAGCATTTGCCGTTGATCAATCCCTTTTTGGGATGCGGCACGCATTCTACTTCCATTTGTACATTCGCAGTGGCGTTTGAATGCGATGTGGCCTATACAATGACTTGCGGGGCCGATGTTCAAGTCAGTGTTTTTATCCCCCAGACAAGTCTGGTACCAATTAACCGACCCCGGAGGGATGGAAGGCTTGGTTGGCCCGGGCGACTCACGACCCAGGATTTGATCCCCGGACCGCTCGCGTGGTGAGCGCGCCACTTGTCACTACACCACTTCCGCCCTTGTATAAATAGTTATTAACAACTATATTTTTTTTGTCTGAAAATCTGAATCTTGACAGGAAAGAGTACTCAATTTGACAGGAATGCATCAATTTTCCTCGTTATCGAATCAATTCAGGGTGATTGAGCTTGTGGAGGAGTTACGTCGCTTGCACTCAGATTGCTT